GCTGGAGAGCAAGTTTCAGAGTCTCTTCTGACATCCATTTTGGTCTTTTCTTTGTTGATTGCCTTTTTAATTACCTTTTGCTTTCTTCCTGTATGATGATCTTTATGTCATCCCACCCCTCTTCCGGCCTTTGGCCATTAGCATATTTTGTATCAAATCAATTTTGATATGATCTTGAAATTCAGGTGGGATATGTTATGAAATTCAGATGGGGTATGTTGGCTCTGTGGACTTATTTTAATTTTTTTCACCTTCAGCCTAAACTTGCATATGAGCAAGTCTGAGTCTGGTCTTGTTTTGGGTGATGACATGTAGGTTTTCTACCATCTCTTTCCATAGATGTAGTCAATTTGATTTCTGTATTTTCCATCTGGTTAGGTCCAGTTGTATAATAGTCTTTTATGTTGTAAAAAAAGGTATTTGTAATGAAGAATTCACTTGTCTTGCAAAATTCTATCATGCAATCTCCAGCATTGTTTCTATCACCAAGCCATATTTTCCAACTACTGATCCTTCTTTTTTGTTTCCAACCTTTGCATTTCAATCACCAGTAATTATCAACACATCTTGAGGGCATATTTGATCAATTTCAGGTTGAAGAAGTTGGTAGATTTCTTCAATTTCATCATCACCGGCTTTAGTGGTTGGTGCAAAAATTTGAATAATAGTGGTATTAATTAGTCTTCCTTGTAGGTGTAATGATATTATCCTATCACAGACAGTATTATACTTCAAGATAGATCTTGAAATGTCCTTTTTGATGATGCATTCAATGCCATTTTCTTCAGTTTCTAGCATAGTAAACCACGTGATTGTCAGATTCAAAATGGCCAATACCAGTCCATTTTAACTCACTAATGCCCGTTGTTGTTAAATGCTGTCAAGTTGGTTCACACCTACAGCAACTTTGTATAGGGTTTCTGAAAAGCTGTTGTGGGTTTGAACCGCCAACTTTGTATTTCAAACTGACCTTGCAGTCCAGCACATTATTCTGCCGTGCCATACTAGGACTCTAATGCCTAGGACATCGATATATCTACATTCTGTTTCATTTTTGACAACTTCCAATTTTCCTAGATTCATATTTCTTACATTCTTATTATAATTATTTATTGATATTATGCCTGTTTCTCCTCATTTTGATCATGCCCCATCAGCAAATGAAAGTCCCTGCTTTTAGGAAGGTCAATTCTACTTTGAAGAAGCAGCTCTTCCCCTGTGGTAGTTTGAGTGCCTTCCAAGCTGAGGGGTTCAGCACTACATCTGACAATATTCTGGTGCTAGTCATCATATTTCAATATTCTAGTGCTATCTGACTGTTTTACTGTTATCCATAAAGTTTTCAGTGACTAAACATCCGGAAATAGTCTTCTTCTCCTTCTGAGTCAGTCTTCGTTTGAAGTTCAATTGAAACTTGTCCATCATGGGTGACCCTGCTGGCATTCAAAATGCTGGTGTCATACCTTCCAGCATCACAGCAACATGCAAGCCACCACATTGTGACAAACTGACAGACAAGTGGTGGGTTTAAGCAGCTACCAAGATATAAATTCTCACTGGAATTTCTGGGTTTAAGAGTTTCTGATGATTTCATTTCATTTTTAAGGGTATAAAACTGTGTGGGGCCATGTCTAACTTCTTCTGTCTTCACATGGGGGAAAGAGAATCAAACTCAAAAGCAGGTCAAGGTAGATTCTATGATGCAGAGGTCAGATGTGATTCCACCCTACAACCTTCTTTATCCTATGCTGACACCAGCAATTCCTCCATAGTACTCTCTGTTTCATATCTGTGATATCTGTGATTTCTTATCTTCATATCTGTGATAATCTATTGCAATGACCACACAGAAATCATAACAATACTCGTGATCATGGGGTTTATTAGGAAAGTGAACTACACTTTTCTGTCAGTTTGTGTCTACTATGGTGGCTTGACATTTCGTGCTGCGGTGGTTACGCTACCAGCATTTTAAATACCCATGGTAAACTGGTTTCAGTTGTGCTTCCAGACAAAGACACCACTTCTTTTGAATGTTTAGTCACTGAAAACCTCTTGAATAGCATGATCAGCATTTCTCAAGCTGAAAGAACTGAAGAAAAAAAAATGAAGCCCCAACTTGCATTATTGAAGGATGCTATAGGCAAAATCCACCACTCATATGTCAGTCTGTCATACTCTGGTGGTTTGTGTGTTGCTGTGATTCTCAAAGCTATGCCACAGCTTTAAAAAATACCAGGAGGGTCACCCATGGTGGACAAGTTCCAGCTAAGCTTCCAGACTAAGATACACTAGGAAGGAGGAGAGGTAGACTACTCCTGAATATTGTCACTGCAAACCTTATAAATAGCAGTGGAATGCTGGCAGCATCAGAATATAGATGATTGAAAATGATGAAAAGCACCAGAATATTGTCAGATATAGTGCTAGAAGATGAACTACTCAGATTGGAAGGTATTCAAAGTAAGACTGGGGGAAGAGCTGCAGCCTCAAAGTACAGTTGACCGTGATGACATGAATGGAGTAAAGACTTCAGGACCTTCATTTGCTTCTGGGGCACAATTTAGAATTGTGAGAAACAGCTGTAGACATCCATTAATAGTCATAACATGGAATGTATGAAATGTAAACCTAGGAAAATTGGAAATTGTCAAAAATTAAATGGAACACATAAACATAGATATCCTAGGCATTAGTGAACTGAAATTGACTGGTATTGGCTATCTGGAATCTGACAATTGCATGGTGTATTATGCCAGAATGACAAATTGAAGAGGAATGGCTTCACATTAATTATAAAAAAGAACATGTGAAGATTCGTCTTGATGTACAATGCTATCTGTGATAGGATAATATCTATACACCTACCAGTTAACACCACCATTATTCAAATTTACACACCAACTACTAAAGCCAGTAATGATGAAATTGAAGAATTCAATCAACTTCTTCAGCCTGAAGTTGATCAAACATTCAATCGAGATGTATTACTGGTGATTGGAGTGCAAATGTTGGAAACAAAGAAGAAAGATCAGTAATGGGAAAATGTAGCCTTGGTGCTAGAAACAATGCTATGATTACATGATAGAATTTTGCAAGACCAATGAATTCTTCATTGCAAATAACTTTTTGAACAACATAAAAGATGACTGTACACATTGACTTCACCAGATAGAAAACATAGAAATCAAATTGACTACATCTGTGGAAAGAGATGATAGAAGAGCTCTATATCATCAGCAAAAAAAGGCCAAGTGCAGACTGTAGAAGAGACCATCACTTGCTCATATGCCAGTTCAGACCGAAGCTGAAGAAAATCAAAACAAGTCCATGAGAGCCAAAATATGACCTTGAACAGATCTCACCTGAGTTTAGATATCATCTGAAGAACCATTTGATGCTTTAGACACTAAAGACCAGAAAATTTGGGGGATGACATAAAAAATATTACACAGGAAGAAAGCAAAAGGTCATTAAGAAGACAAAACAGGAGAAGACCAAAATTGATATTGTAAGAGACTCAGAAACTTGTTCTTCAGCATAGAGATGCTAAAGCAAATGGAAGACATGAGGAGGTAAAAAGAGATGAATAGAAAATTTCAAGAGCAGCTCAGGAGACAATGTCAATTATTAACAACATATGCTAAGACCTGGAATTAGAAAACCAAAAGCACAAGCTTAACAGCAATTGTGAGACTGGCATGAGATTGGTTAGTGTTTTGTTCTGTTGTACATTAGGCCTCCCATATGTCTCCATTAACTTGATGTTACCTAACAACAACAACAATAACAAAACTCCTTAAACACCCTCAAGTGATTTTGTGGGGCTTCTTATTATTTTCTAATAAGATCAATTTCTATGAAAAAGAGCTATTGTCACACTGCAACAGAATAGAATGCCAAAAAGCTCTTACTTTGCCTTAGTTTAAGTGGGAGTGCTATCCCTTGGAAAACAAGTCTTTGTGGCTTAGCCTGCCTAATGCGCTCAGTTCATACCGCCAGGGCATTATCAATTGAGTAAATTCCCAGACTCTGAATTTGACAGTAAATCAGACAACTCTGAGCTGTAGCTCTTCCCTTCTATATTTAAACATATAAATGCTTTGTTAAGTGGTTTGAAAATATAGGACAGAGTTTTCAATACTTGCACAGTCCACCATTATTCCTATTTTCCCTAATACATTGCAAAGTCCGAGCTGCATGTTCTTAAATCATCTGGTTAAAACACACACACTCACATATACACTTTATCTAGTAAGCATATTGACTAAAATATCCATCTCAGAGATCTGAAATATGCCTTCTCTGATTTATTTTTTAAAGTTTAAGCTAAATGTTTATACTTTGCTGGTACACACACATTTAATGGAGTTTGGTTGAATGAAATTAGAATTAGATCAATAAGCCAGTTGATTTGAGAACAATTTTGTTTTACATACATAAATTTGACTTAAGGAAAAAGTCAACAAATATGAGTCAATATTTGATCCATATAAGTTGGACATTGAACATTAAGTTCTGAAAATATTTTTACCAATTTATTTACTTGTTTTCTTTTAAAAATCTTACATATAAGAGTATATAAAAAACTATGTCCAATAAAGTATAAAAGAGGCCATTCAATAAATGTCATATTACAATTCTGTATGATAGGAGAGAATACCTCCATAAAATCATTTGATTGTTAGCCTCCCTTACTTTTACTAGCACACACAATTGATGGAGTCTTTCGTTTAGATAAAATATTATGATGTTAAATACTTTAGAAAGTTGCTATAAGGCATATATAAGTTATTAAATGAAATAATTTAGAATAGGCCTAGCATTTAATAAACACTAAAAAACAAAACAAAACAAAAAGTAATCCTAGTAATAGACCAATAAGCAATGACATCACTTTTGGATAAAAATGTAGTATTAACAATGACAAGCCTTAATTATGATACAATTTTACAGATGTTATTCTGGCTATGGGGATGAAGCCATTCTTTTCTACTTACATTAAAGTCACATTTGAAGAAACTGATGGGACAGCTTGCAAGTTGACTTCATCACAGCTAAGCTCTAGACCTTGGCAAAGACATTGCACAGGCACAGAACTGACCACTGAATAAAGATGAGGTAGTTAAATCAATGACAATGAGGGACGAGGAAGAAGAGGACAATAAGAAGAAAGAAACAAAAAGTGATGAGAAAATTATTTAGTACAAAATTATGCCATCTCCTACTTAAGAAATCTGAGCAATGCTTTCAGTAAAGTGTCTAATATTTGCTTTTGATTAACCTTGAAATGATTTTAAAGCATTACCATTTGGAAACATATACAAATACCAGGGCATGCATTTTAATTTTTTAAAGAGCAGGCTGTTCTTATCCATTTGTTGCAAAATGAATGAATCATCTGCTCTTACTCACCCTATGGGAGTAGTTCTGTCTAGGACTGACCTGGCAGTGTCTGGCGAAGTTTTATGTCCACATTAAAGTTATTATTTAAGAGCAAGTATTTATTAATAGCTGAATCATGAGCTGTAATGGCTGATCATTTTTAATTAGAAGGATAGAAAAGACCCAAACATTACACTATATTGTTGATTTTTTTCTCTTCCTTTTTTTCTGAACATTTAAGATCGTTTCAAAAAACTTTTATAGGCCTATAATTTTCTGATTTTCCTTTGACTTAGGTAGGGGTATAGAATATATAAAAGTTGATTTATGGGGCTGAACATTTATTCTGTACACCCTGGATTCTGGGAACAGGGAGAATGAGATGTATGCCTTTGATTATCTGTGGTGATTGTCTTAGGAAAGTGATTTAATATTTATGAAGTACAGTTGTCCATTGGTATTATTAGGGGATTCGTTTCAGGACACTGGACTCACCCTAAAAACAATCAGTGGGTGCTTATTTATATTTAAATATAATCATCCTGTATGCTTTAAATAATCTTTAGGTTACTCGTATATTAGGCAAATGCTTTGTAAATAGCAGTTTATGTTCCTTTTTAACTCAAGGTATTGCTTTAACCACTAAGTTGTTTCTTAGGAGCTATTTTTGCCTCCCTGAATATTTTCAATCCGTCCTTAGGTGGTTGAATCCACTGATGTGAAACTAATATGGAGGGCCAACTGTATGTTAGAGACTCTCAGCGATGTATTCTTAGAGGTAACCAGTATAACGTTAATTATTTACCCACCAGCTGTTCCACATGAGAATTATGTGACAATCTGTTTCCATAAAGATTTACATCCTTAGAACCCCTGTGGGACAGTTCTACTCTGCCCTGTAGAGTCTCTATGAGTCAGAATCAACTCAGAAATGTTTCTTTTGTTTTTTGGCTATAATAAATATAAGAAACCCTAGTGGTTCAACAACTAGGTGATCCATGGGAGAAAAACCTGGACAGCTACTTCTGTAAATATTAAAAACAAAACAAAAAACAACAAATAAAAAAACCTAACAAAGAAACAAACCTACAGCCATTTAGTTGATTCTAACTCATAGTGACCTTATGTAAGGTTTCCCAGACTGCAGATATTTAAGGGAGCAAATAGCCTCATCTTTCCCCCAATAAGCAGCTGGTGGGTTATAGCCTAGAAAGCTGTATGGAACAGTTTTATTCTATTACTTGGGATTGCTCTGAGTTGAAAATTGACTGGACAGCATTTAAGAGCAACACAACAAAAAGAGTTGGATTCCTACATTATTGAGAAATGGATGATTCCTGAGAGCAATAACATGCTGTAGAAAAAGCACTGGAATGCTAACCACAAAGTCATTGGTTCACACTTTACTCCTCAAACTGTTATCTTTGCTCTTGAAAGAGGTCTTATATACAGCTGATTTGCCTAATGCAATATGTCGTTTGATTTCTTGACTGCTGTTTCCATGAGAGTTCATGGTGGATTCAAGCAACATGAAGTCTTTGACACCTTCGAACTTTTCTTTATTTATTGGTCCAGTGGTGAGGATTTTTGTTTTCTTTACATTGAGGTGTAACCCATACCTCAAAGCTTTGGTATTTGGTGTTCTTCCTTAAATATTTTAAGCCCTCTTCTCTTTCAGCAAGACAGTTATGTCATCTGCATATCACAGGTTGCTAATGAGTCTTCTTCCAATCCTGATGCTATGGTCTTCTTCATATAATCCAGTTTCTCAGATAATTTCCAAGGAGTGGTTGTTAGGTTTGAACCACCACCTTTGTGGTTAACAGTCCAGTGCTTATCCTACAACGGTACAACAGGACTCCTTGGTTGATACTAGATCTCATATTATCTGTGATCTTTCTCTTGAGAAGTGATTTTATAGGTTTAAATTCCTCACATTTTTTCACTGATTGAAAAACAATTGTAAACCAATAAATTCTTATGGTAATCTGATTTAAATGCCATGGTATAACAGAAACCTTAATTTATACCCCACATTTTACAGTACACTTTCCATTCAATTTTTGTACTGTTAGCAAGTTTGAAAATGATATTAAATGATCAATTATGTCCCTCAGAATTAGCTTATAAAAACTCTAATGAAAAATTATGTAATTTGTTCTTCAATGTTATAAGTGCCATCCTGTTGGTTCTAACTCATAGCTACCTTGTATAGGGTTTCTGGGGAGTAGCTGGTAGGTTGTATAGGGTTTCTGGGGAGTGGCTGGTAGGTTAGCAGTCCAGTACTTATCCTATAATGCCATACCAGGATTCCTATTCTCCACTAACTACTAATAAATTGCCATTCTATATTTTGACATATCGCTAATTGTGTAGCTCTGTTTCTCTTAAAAAAGTATGTTTTTGTTAAGTCCTGTGGGGTTGGTTCCAATTCATACCAATCCTGTGTAGCAGGAATGGGGAA